ATATATTAGTATTATTAATAACATATTGTAATAATATTACAGTATAGTGGTATAGTACAACCCTTGAGTTGCCCGAGGGCTGAGAAAAGCAGGATATAAATATAGTAAATAATACAGTAAATAAATAAATAAATAATATATAATACTGATATTATGCTATGCCAATAATATAACATATTGTATGTATTGTATGTATATATATCTTGTAAGCTGCCCTTTGGGGTGAGAAGGGCAGCATATAAATGTTGTAAATACATAAATAATTTATTATTATTATTCTGAATATTATTTAATATTATTTAAATGCATTATAACTGTATTTTCAATTCGCTTCTGACACGATAACGAAATAAATATGTGAAACGTCCTGCTGCGGAATGGATTTATCACAACGATATGGTCATTATTAGTTATTAGTCTGGTCCTGCCTTGAGGCACAGTGACTTCTTCCCTCCTTTCAACGGAAAGCCAGTGCTGTGCTGATGCAAGATCTTCGAGGCGAAGGTATTGCACCAAGAGAGCCCGTTTCCCTCTTTTTCATTTTGCAAAACTCAAAGAGAAAGGCCTGGAGTGGAAAGAGATAAGGAGGTGCATTCCTTCATTCCGCTCCAGCCATGACTTCAGGCAAAGGATTTCCACGTAATGGAATGTTTTTATGGGGAACCAGGCGCTTCCGGAGACGGGTTTATGCGTGACCTTCGGCATCGCTTCTGATATTTCCATGCAGCACGCTCCAATTGTCCTGCTATCATCAACATCATCATTTATTATTTATCACTATCATTTAAAAATAAATTATTATTATTCATCATTATTTTATTATTATTGTTTATATATTATTATATTTACTATTATTATTTATCATTATTGTTTTGATCACTATTATTTATCATTTAAAATATATTATTATTTTTACTATTATTATTTATCATTATTGTTTTTATCATTATTATTTATCATCATTTAAAATCTATTATTATTTTTACTATATTTATCATTATTGTTTTTATCACTATTATTTATTATTTAAAATATAATATTTTACTATTATTATTTATCTATTGTTTTTATCACTATTATTTATCATCATTTAAATATATTATTATTTTACTATTATTATTTATCTATTGTTTTTATCACTATTATTTATCATCATTTAAATATATTATTATTTTACTATTATTATTTATCTATTGTTTTTATCACTATTATTTATCATCATTTAAATATATTATTATTTTACTATTATTATTTATCTATTGTTTTTATCACTATTATTTATCATCATTTAAATATATTATTATTTTTACTAGTATTATTTATCACTTGTTTTTATCACTATTATTTATCATCATTTAAATGTATTATTATTTTTACTATTATTATTTATCACTTGTTTTTATCATTATTATTTATCATCATTTAAATATATTATTATTTTTACTATTATTATTTATCACTTGTTTTTATCACTATTATTTATCATCATTTAAATATATTATTATTTTTACTAGTATTATTTATCACTTGTTTTTATCACTATTATTTATCATCATTTAAATGTATTATTATTTTTACTATTATTATTTATCATGTTTTTATCACTATTATTTATCATCATTTAAATATATTATTATTTTTACTATTATTATTTATCACTTGTTTTTATCATTATTATTTATCATTTAAAATATATTATTATTATTATTACTATTTAATAATTATTATCATTGTTTTTTATCATTTATTATTTATCATCATTTCCTTAGGCATTTTGTACCATTAAAAATTGCCTTTTTCAAATAACCCAAGCAACGCCAGGAACCCAAGGTAGTAATTAATAATAATAATAATAATAATAATAATAATAATAATGAAGAGCTCCTTACCTGCTGTGCACCACGTCTTTGCAGTTCAAAACCACCACAATCCCCGAAACGGTGGCCATAATGGCTTGGACGGAGGACACCAGCCTGGAAAGAAGAAGGGAATGACAATGTCAACAAAGACAATGTTTTGTTTATTTTCTATTTGATACGGCCGTATTATTAGTATGCAAGGCAGAGAACAGGGCTCTCCCCTTTCTACGGATGGGAAGAGTCCCAAAGGCCAATGCGCTTCAATGCGCTTGAGAGGATGGGCCGGGGCAAGGTCACCTGTTCCGGGAGGCAAGCAGAGTAAATACTCGTAAATCAATACACAAACACAATCAACATTCGGCAAGGAGCAATGACTTTGGCAATAGAAATGAATATGTGTGTGTGTGTACATAGGATCCAGGAGTCTTAGTGGAGCCGAGAGTGTGGTGCTGCGGCGAAAAAGGCCAATGCAATGCCAGGCTGCGTCAAGAGGAGGAGCGTGTCTAGACGGATCTCTCAGCAAGGTCTCCCCAAAGGAGCGGCTCCCTTCTTCTCTCCACATTTTTGCAGGTCAACACGTGGGTGGGAAGGGAAGGGAGGAATCTGGCTCCGGCACCGGACCTGCCCTGGTGAGGATCCACAATGCGCCAAGGAGCATTCCTTCCTTCCAAACCACGAGAACGGCAGCAAGGAGACAGGTAGGTAGGTAGGTAGGTAGGTAGGTAGGTAGGTAGGTGGAGAGGAAAATGGATGGATGGATGGATGGATGGGCAGGCAGATAGATAGGAAGACTGGTAGGTAGGTAGGTAGGTAGGCATAGTAATAATCATCATAAGAGACAGGTAGCTAGGTAGGTAGATAGGTAAGTAGAGAGGAAGATAGACAGACAGATAGATAGACAAATGGACAGGAAGACAGGTAGGCAGGCATAGTAATAATCATAATAATAGGAGACAGGTAGATAGATAGGTAGAAAGGAAGATAGACAGCCAGAAAGACTGGTAGGTAGGTAGGTAGACATAGTAATCATGATAATAGGAGACAGGTAGGTAGGTAGGTAGGAGACAGGTACATAGGTAGGTAAGTAGGTAGAGAGGAAGATAGACAGATAGGAAGACAGGTAGGTAGGAAGGCATAGTAATAATCACAACAATAGGAGACAGGTATAGAGGTAGAGAGGATAGATAGATGGTAGGGAGGTAGTCATAGCAATAATCATAATAATAGGAGACACGTAGATAGGTAGGTAGAGAGGAAGATAGACAGACAGCCAGGAAGACTAGTAGGCAGGTAGGTAGGCATAGTAATAATTATAATAATAGGAGACAGGTAGGTAGGTAGGAGACAAAGATAGGTAAGTAGGTAGAGAGGAAGATAGACAGATAGATAGACAGACAGACAGGTAGGTAGGTAGACAGAAGATAGATAGACAGACAGGAAGACAGGTAGGTAGGTACTAGGCATAGTAATAATAATAAAAATAGGAGACAGGTAGGTAGGTAGAGAGGAAGATAGATAGATAGATAGATAGATAGATAGATAGATAGATAGATAGATAGATAGATAGATAGAAAAGAAGGCCAACACTCTTCCCTGAACAAGATAGACAGACAGATAGACACAGGTAGGTAGGTAGACAGACAGATAGATAGATAGACAGACAGGAAGACAGGTAGGTAGGTACTAGGCATAGTAATAATAATAAAAATAGGAGACAGGTAGGTAGGTAGAGAGGAAGATAGATAGATAGATAGATAGATAGATAGATAGATAGATAGATAGACAGACAGACAGACAGACAGACAGACAGACAGACAGACAGACAGACAGGAAGACTGGTAGGGAGGTAGTCATAGTAAAACTGATAATAATTTTATTGCTATTATTTAACAATAATAACAGAATAATGCATGTATGTTTAATACAATAGGAATGATAATGTGATATACGACTACTAATAAAATACTAATAATATATGATTAGTCCAGAGGAGGAAGACCAACATAATTAATCATAATCATAATAATATGTCCAGAGGAGGGAGACCAAAATAATAATAATAATAATAATAATAATAATAATAATAATAATAATAATAATAATGTTATGATGTCCAGAGAAAGACAACAACAACAAGAAGAAAAAGAAGATGAAGAAGTCCAGAGGAGGGATACTAACATAATAAGTAATTATATGTTCAGAGGGAGACCATTATAATAATTGAAATAATAATAATAATAATAATAATAATATGTTATCCAGAGGGAGACTACAATAAGCATCACCGTGTGTCCAGAGGTGGGAGACCAACACCACAATAATAGTATTAGTAATATTAGTAATAATAATGTCCAGAGGAGGGGAGCAACATTATAATGATAATAAGAATATGTCCACATGAAGACCAACATAAGAAGAAGAAGAAGAAGAAGTCCATAGGAAGACCAACATAATAATAATAATAATAATAGTAATAATATGTCCACATGAAGACCAACATAATAATAATGATAATCATCATCATAATCATCATCATCATTTAATTACTTATTAATCGCCCTCCATCTGAGAATGCTCCAGGCGATTTACAGCTAAATTATAGAAGATAAAATACATACATACAAAAAATAAAAATCAACAGAGATCGAATGCTCTAGTGAAAAGCCAGGTCTGAAGTGCGAGAGTAAAAGGCCTGAAGTCACGCATGGCTCTCACGTAGGGCGGCAAGGAATTATTCCACAATGAGGCAGGAGGGGCAGAAATGGAGAAAGCCCCCCTGCGCCTCATAATAAGAATAATATGTCCACAGGAAGACCAACATAATCATAAGAAGAGGAAGAAGAAGAAGAAGGCCACAGGAAGACCAACGGAATAATGATGATAATAATAATAATAATCATATGTCCACAGGAAGACCAACATAATAAGAATAATAATAATAATAATAATAATAATAATAATAATAAATATAATAATAATTATGAAGAAACATGAATAATAATAATAATAATAATGATAATAATAATAATAATAATAATGATAATAATAATAATACTAATATGTCTACATGAAGACCAACATAATAATAATAATAATAATAATAATAATGATAATAATAATAATAATAATATGTTTGCATGAAGACCAACATAATAATAATAATAATAATGATGATAATAATAATAATAATGATAATAATAATAATAATAATGATAATAATAATAATAATAATGATAATAATAATAATAATATGTTTGCATGAAGACCAACATAATAATAATGATAATAATAATAATAATGATAATAATAATAATGATAATAATAATAATATGTCCACATGAAGACCAACATAATAATAATAATAATAATAATAATAATAATAATAATAATGATAATAATAATAATAATGATAATAATGATAATAATAATAATGTAAATAATAAAATAATAAATAGATAATGTAATACTAATAATATGATACATGAAGAACAACATAATAATAATAATAAAATAATAATGAATAATAATAATAATAATAAATGAAAATAATAATAATAATAATGATAATAATAATAATAATAATATAATAAATGTAAATAAATAATAATATAATAATAAATAATATAATAATATAATGATATAAACAATATAATAATAATAATAATAATAATATTAATAATATATAATAATAAAATAATGATAATAATAATAATAATATGATAATAATAATAATGATAATAAATAATATGTACATGAAGACCAACAATAATAATAATAATAATAATGATAATAATAATAATAATAATGATAATAATAATAATATGTTTGCATGAAGACCAACATAATAATAATAATAATAATGATAATAATAATAATAATAATAATGATAATAATAATAATAATGATAATAATAATAATAATAATGATGATAATAATAGATAATAATAATAATATAATGAACAAACATAATAATAATAATGATAATAATAATAATATAATAATAATAATAATAATAATAATATAATAATAATAATAATGATAATAATAATAATATAATGATAATAATGATAATAATAATAATGATAATATAATGATAATGATAATAATAATAAATGAAAAATAATAATAAAATAATAATAATATAATAATAATAATAATGATAATGACAAATAATAATGATGATGATAATAAGAAGAAGAAGTCCACAGGAAGACCAACATAATAATAATAATAATAATAATAATAATAATAATAATAATAATAATAATAGTAATAATAATAGTATGTCCTGAGGAGGAAGACCAACATAATCCATCACAATCCTAATAATATGTCCAGAGGGAGAGCATTATAATAATAGCTGTTATGATTATTATTAGGAGGGGGGAGACCAAGATGAGCATAATAATAATAATAATAATAATGATAATCCTAATGATAATCCTGGTGGTGGTGGTGTTGCTGACCGACCTTCCGCTGAGGAGGATGCGCTCCTTGAGGCTCCATGCGGGTCCGAGCCAGGCCAGGCCGCGGAGGCAGGCCGCGAAGAGGCCCGGGAAGAAGAGCCCTCCCGCCGCCAAAGGGAGCCACATGCCCTCCTCCTTCCCCGGAGGAACCAGCAGGAGAGGCCGGAGGAGGAAGAGGAGACGGAGCAGCGGGAGAAGCAGGCCCAGAAGGAGAGAGAGGAGCAGGAGGAGATGGGAAGGCCCGGCCCTCCTCCCTCCCTGCCTCCCTCTTCCCCCGCCCGCCCGCCCGCCGGATACAACCTCCCTCTCTCTCCGGCCTTTGAATGGGGCGCCCCGCCTTCCAAACTCATGAATGGGACACCTTCCTTCCTTCCTTCCTTCCTTCCTTCCTTCCCAGGCTCTTCCTCCTGGCTTCAATGGGCGCCCCAGATTCATGAATGGGACACCAGCCTAGGAAGGAGGGCACAGCAAGGGCAACACCCCATTCATCACAACACCACCACCACCACCACTCTAGCATCTACCCATACCATAGGGGACTACTCAGCATGCCATACATTATAGTCAATCGGCTAACACTTCTTAGGCTCATAGAACCCAAGAAGAGTGGGAAGAGACCTCCTGGGCCCTCATCCAGTCCCACCCCATTCTGCCCAGAAGCAGGAATATTGCATTCAAAGCACCCCTGACAGATGGCCAGCCAGCCTCTGCTTCAAAGCCTCCACAGAAGGAGCCTCCACCACACTTTGAGGCAGAGAGTTCCACTGCTGAACAGCTCTCATAGAATCCTAGAGTTGGAAGAGACCTCCTGGGCCATCCTCCAGTCCCATCCCATTCTGCCAAGAAGCAGGAATATTGCATTCAAAGCACCCCTGACAGATGGCCATCCAGCCTCTGCTTCAAAGCCTCCACAGAAGGAGCCTCCACCACACTTTGGGGCAGAGAGTTCCACTGCTGAACAGCTCTCATAGAATCCTAGAGTTGGAAGAGACCTCCTGGGCCATCACCCAACCCCCATTCTGCCAAGAAGCAGGAATATTGCATTCAAAGCACCCCTGACAGATGGCCATCCAGCCTCTGCTTCAAAGCCTCCAAAGAAGGAGCCTCCACCACACTCCGGGGCAGAGAGTTCCACTGCTGAACAGCTCATAGAATCCTAGAGTTGGAAGAGACCTCGTGGGCCATCCCCAGTCCAACCCATTCTGCCAAGAAGCAGGAAAATCACCTTTCAAAAGCACCCCCGGCAGATGGTTTGCACTCTTTGTCGGAGAACGCTCTGCAAAACTACAACTCCCGGGGTTCCAAAGAATTAAGTCTCCTCTGGGAGATAGGGTGGAATCATAGAATCCAAGAGTTGGAAGAGACCTCCTGGGCCTTCATCCAGTCCAACCCCATTCTGCCAAGAAGCAGGAATATTGCATTCAAAGCACCCCTGACAGATGGCCATCCAGCCTCTGTTTCAAAGCCTCCAAAGAAGGAGCCTCCACCACACTCCGGGGCAGAGAGTTCCACTGCTGAACGGCTCTCACAGTCAGGAAGTTCTTCCTCATGTTCAGGTGGAATCTCCTTTCTTGTAGTTTGAAGCCATGGCTCCATTGCGTCCTAGTCTCCAAGGAAGCAGAAAACAAGCTTGCTCCCTCCTCCTCCCTGTGGCTTCCCCTCACATATTTATACATGGATAATATATATATATAATACTGATATATTAATATTATTAATATTATACCATGCTAACATATATGATATATGCTACTAATATATTAATATTATCAATGTTATATTGTACTAAATATTAAATATAATATATAATACTAATATATTATATATTATATATAATACTGTTATATTAATGTTATTAACATTATACTGTGCATATATATATATTATATAATAATATAATATTAATATTATTAATATCATACTGTGCTTATATATATATATATATAATACTAATATATTGATATTATTAGTATTACACTTTGCTAATATATTATGTGTAATATTTAATACCAATATATTATATGTTATTAATATTATACTGTGCTATTAATATTATTAGTATTATACTTTCTAATATAGTATGTGTAATATTTAATACCAATATATTATATATTACTAATATTATACTGTACTAATATATTATATATAATATTTAATACTAATATATCAATATGATTAATACTATAATAATACAGCATAATGGTATAGTACAATATAGTAATCTATAATACAAATATTGTGCTGTGCTAATAATATGATATATTGTATACACATGTAATATTGATCATATTATAATGTAATGCAATATAATACTAATAATTATACAACATAACATTATATATTTTATATTGCATGTAACAATATTACAGTATAGTGGTATAGTACAATATAGTAATATATAGTGGTAATAATGTAATATATTGATTAGACATATAGTATTGATAATACCAATAATAATACAACATAATATTATATTTCACATTTCATGTAATATTACTAATAATATTGCAGTATAGTGGTATACTACAATATAGTAATAGATAGTGCTAATAATGTAATATATTGATATTGATAATACCAATAATTATACAATATAATATTATATCTTTTATATTACATGTAATGTTACTAATAATATTGCAGTATAGTATAGTGGTATAGTACAATATAGTAATATACAGTGCTAATAATGTAATATATTGATTAGACATATAGTATTGATAATACCAATAATAATGCAATATAATATTATATATTTTATATTACATGTAATATTACTAATAATATTGCAGTATAAGATTGTGCTATGCTCATAATACAGTATATTGTATGTACACGTTACTTGTAAGCCGCTCCGAGTCAGAAGCACTGGGGTGCCTGTGGTGGAGGAAACACATGAACTCTAGGATGTGGTGGAGGAAACACATGAACTCTAGGATGAAATGTGGGCAGTGTGGTGTTGGTGGAGGACGTTGGCATTGAAAACCATCAGAAGCCCAATGTTTCCGCTATGTTTAATGTGATGTGCCTTTTAATTTCTCATTTGTGGCCTTTAGGCTCAATTAGCAGGCTTTAACGGCTCTTCTAATTCGTTGCGACTTCATTATACACTTTGCTGACATGGTTGTTGTGTGTTTTATGAGGCCTTGCGCACCCGTCCACCTTTGTGAAACTGCGTGGCAACACATTTATAATGAACGATCATTATCCTAATTACGAAATGAGGGTGACGCACCCGCCAAGTGTTTCCCAACCTCCAGCCTCACCTCGGGAATATGAAAATGAAGGCCGGGTAAGTAGGTACGTCTAGTAAGTATAGAGCACCTATGGAGCTGCCCTGTGGCCGTTGCGCAATTGCGCGGTGGATCACGCAACCACCAGGCAGCTCGGTTGCCAAACACGGCCTCAGCAGGACAGGTTCGGCTGGGCCTCCCCAGAGACATACCCATCCCTTTTGAGCGTGTCTACACTGCACAGTTAATCCAGTTTGACTCCACTTTGTCACTCCCAGGGCCCAATACTAGGGAATCCTCAAAGTTGCATGGCCGGAATCACTGGGTTGCTGTAAGTTTTCCAGGCTATCCAACCATGTTCCAGAAGCATTCTCTCCTGACATTTCGCCTACATCTATGGCAGGCATCCTCAAAGGTTGCGCGGTCTTGGTGGAAACTAGGA